GCTCCAGCTGGCCAGCACTGGAGGGGAGCAGCTCCGGGCGGATAGACGCTCTAGCAGCTGCCTACTGCCCCCAGCTGGCTGGGGACTGCCTCCCCGGCTCCTCCCTCGTCCCCTGCTGGAAGGGGAAGGGATCTAAACAGGCTCTCCATCCCACTGTGCTCTCCCAGGCCTGGGCGATGGATCGCTGGCTGGGGAGAACTGGGTGCTTTCCACGCCTCTGAGCTGCCTGAGCAGCGACCGTGGCCCAGGACCATTAACCAAAGAGGAGGGGAGGAGTCGTCCCTCCAAGCCAGGCAGTGAGGCCAGCTGGTCCCAGCCCAGCCCCCGCCACTCCCAGCAGGAACTGTCCCAAGCCCCCTCGGCAGCAGCCCACGGTCCCCCTCGGGGCTTCCTGGGGTCTGAGTGCGGAGCTGCCTGGGTCTCCCCCGGTGGACGGTGGGGGATGGACTCTCTCTGGCACACACAGAAGGGTCGTGGGAGGCCCTGTGGGACTGTGGCCCCCGGGCTCCTTCTGGGGCCTGTGAGCCGGGGCTGAAAGCGCCCCGAGCGTGGGGGGAGGGTCTGTGTGCGGGCGGGGCGGGGCAATGGGAGTCTGGGTGGGCGCGGCAGGGCAGGCGTGCTGGCACAGGGGGTCAGAGGCGGGAGGGGAGCGGAGGGAGTCCCAGCAGCCCCACCCAGTGTCCCAACGAAGCCAGAGGTGGACAAGAACCAGGGTTCTGTGGCTTTAACCTGAACGGCCTGGTCTGGGGCGTGGAAATAAACAGGCTCTACCGGGAGACGCGTGGCACCACTGCGGTCCCTCCACAGGGAGGCTGAGGCAGCGCAGAGGGTGGGTGAGGGCCACGGTTTGTTCCTGGAGCGATAGGACACAGGCCCACAGCTGACTGCACACAGGCAAGTCTCACTGTGTGACCTCGCACCGCATGGCCCAGGGGGCAGGGCGCTGGCCGGGGAATCTGCACTCCACAGCAGCTCTGTGATTATAGTGCCGCTCCGTGCCTCAGTTTCCCCATCTGGGAATAAGGCTGCCGACCACCTTTGAGCTCTCCTGATGAACAGCCCTTGGGATTGCCCCTCCTCCCCCACTCCGGCAGCGGGCAGGCCCCCTACATCAGTCGGGTAGCGGAAGAGGGTTGCTCTCCCTGGTGCCTCTCTCCAGGAGACAGGCTTGCTCCTCACGGGGGGCGTCAATGGCCACGGAGGTCAAGGGCAGGCTGCCCGTTGGCTTCGGGGGCCTTTGCATTGGGCCTTTGCATTGGAGGGCTCGGGGTAGCTGAGGCTTCTCACTCTGCGGTGCATGAGAATTCGCCAGCTCCATCCCTGAGCCCGGCTGCAAAGCCCAGCCCTGGGAGCGTGACGGGAGCCCCGCCGTGCCCGGGCGCAAAGCGCGGCTTCGCTGCATTTCCTGGAAAGCATGAATTATTCACGGAGGGGCTGGCGAGGCGGGAGGAGATGCAGCCTCCATTATCCCGGGATGATTTAATGGCGCTGTCCCAGTAACATCGAATCAGCTCAAAAAAGCCCGGCTGCCTGCGAGAGGCACTTTGGCGGGTGCGGAATCGATCTGCCCTGCGCCCGTCGCAGCGTTTTATAGCCGGAGGAGCGCACCAAACAGCAACACATGTTTTAAGAGCAATAAAGCCAGAGCGTCTTGAGGACAGAGCATTTCTCCAGCTCTGCCTCCCTCTCTTCCCAGCCTCGCCACACACACTGCTCTTCTCTCGCCCCCCATCGCCTTCCTCTCTGGACGTGTTTGTTTTCAGCGGGCTGCTCCATGCCCAAGGGTGGAGCCCTCTCCCTGGTGCAGAGCCGGGGGGCAGCTCCAAAGCTTTGGATGGGGGCGGGGTGAAGGGTCCCACCTGCCAAAAAAAAAAAAACCAAACCCACAAGAGAAAAAATTCTGTCGAGGAAAAAAAAAAGGGAGAGACCAAAGTTGTTGAATAAAACAAACAAACAAAAACCCCAGCGTGGCCCCTTTAAGAAATGCTTTTGAAACTTTTTGCGGCCGGAGGCCAGCTGCCATCTTGTTTTCCTACTCCGGTCCAGACAGCCAGGAGGTGAAAATACCAGACTGTCTGGGTCAATATCAGACACCTGGCAACCCTACTGCCCGGCTGGTGGCAGACAGGATCCTGGGCTAGATGGGCCTTCTCGGAGCCAGCGCCACGCTGGTGCACCAGGCCTGCCCGGGCATGAGAGAACGGAGCCGGGTGCCCAGCAGGCAGGAGCTCAGCGCTTTCTGGCCATCAGGCTCCTTTGCTCTGTCTCCGGTGGGCCCGAGGTGCCCGGAAGCACCACGGCCCAGCCTGCGTGGCGAGGGGCTGGGCCACGAACCGGCAGCCCGACGCGTGGGAGGGTCACGCCCACCTCGCTGGCCCCAACTCCTGCTCTCATGCTGCTCTTGATGGTGCCAAGCCACTGAGGCGGGGGGAAGCCAGAGGGGGACTTGACCCCCCCCAATACAGCGGCAGGGCTCCTGTGTTTTCATCCCGCCAACCTGTCTCCTGTGGCTGCAGCTAGAGGAATCCTGAAGCCAGTGAGCAAGGGCCTTCCCTAGCATGGGCACTCCCGAGAACGTCCCTACACCTGCCTGGCCGCTATAACCTGGCATTGGGCGACAGAGGTGGATGGTCTATGCACAAGGCCAGTCCACGTGCAGTGTGACACGGTGCCACCTGATCTCCTTGGGGGCAGATCCTCGCCTGCCGGACACGGTCCTGCACAGCTCCACAAGGGACAGCGGCTGGGGTGTGTCCCCCGG